TTGTGACTTTGGGGGTTTGGAGCTTTCCCCTAGACGCTAAACCATAAACATTAGGGTTTGAGGTTTTAAGGCATCTAGGATTTAGAGGCTTGTGCATGCTTGTGCTACCTGCGAGTTATCCTGAAGGTCCTGTTGAAGCGGGGGACATTGGGGATACACTTCCTTCTAAATTGTAGGAGAACCTCTGTTGGGTGAGGATAACATTTGACGTTTTGGGTAACCCTAAACCCTAAACCCTACACCCTATTGATGCTTTTGGGATGCAGCTTATTTGGGTGTATTTGGGTGGTCGGTTCGAGTCTAGTAGGTTCTGATTTGGGTTCTGCAAGGTCTTAACTTTGAGGTCTGTAGGGACAAGGCCGTAGGGTCTGACAGCTATAACGAAGCTGCGACCGCTAGAAACACTACGGAAGATAGTGACAGCAATGATAACCGTAGCTAGAGGGGGGCACGAACGTTGGTGACACTTACATGGCAAGATCGCGTAGTCCCCTCTACCACAAGCTGATGCCGAGCGGTAACCAGTATTTTCGCATCGATCCGAGACAGATGCTGAACTTCCTGGTTGAGATGCAAAGTTCTAAAAGGTTTCGACGACGGGGGCTCGCTGGGGTTGGGGTCTTGCTACTGCATTGTCAATGTTGGAAGTACCTTGTCAAGATGTCAGGATGTTGTCTGATCTCTCCAGATCACCATGCATGGTGGTTTTTGTGCTGCTCGAGTGATGCTCAAAACAGCCACTGTGCATGACGAGGCACACTGCCGATTCCAATACTGCCTGTCGGTCATCATCGTCAGCATCGTCATAAACACCATTCAATCATCATCATCATCATCACCACCATCATCATCGCCATTGCCGGCGTCATTGCAGCATGAATATTGTAATCTCAATCGCAACTGTAGTCAGGTGGTGCCACATCCTTCTTGTTCGCGGCACTGCAATTGTGGAGAGCAACCTTGCCATGTTCATCATCAGCATAATCATCAGCCGCAGCAGCAAGGGGTCAGTGTTGCTGTTGCGCTTGCTGTACCTCATGCCTTATGTCCATGTGAGTATTAGCATGATTGTCCCTGTTGCTGTCCTCATCGCTGATCTCTGAATCGTTCCTTGCAGTCTTATTGAGTGCTATTTCTGCTCCAGCCATTACTCTTTCTAGCTCGGACCGTTCTGCTGCTTGTAGCGGTTGACCCTGGTCTTGTTCTTGCAAAAGTGGAATTGGTATTTGTCTCTCTGCTTATCTCTCGGCCTACCCATAATCTAGACATCTAGTTACTGTCGATCTGTCTCCCCATCGGCACATGCACACGTTCCGTCAACTTGTGGTGATGTGTCTGAGGAGCACCCTAAACCCTAAACCCTAAACCCTAAACCCTAAACCTAAAGCTGAACAGCGACAGGAGGCTGCGGCTGCAGCTGTGGTCCTAGCTGTGGACCAGTAGGGCCCAACTCTGACACAGGCACCGGATCTAAACCCTAAACCCTTAAGCCCTAAACCCTTAACCCCCTAAACCCTCTTTAAACCCCAAACCCTAAAGCCTTGAATCCTAAACCCTCCCTCGTGGCTCGAGGTCTTAGGGCCCTTCGGCTTCGGAGCTTATGAGCTTGGAGTTCGGTGTCTTCGGTTTTTCATGTTGAGGGCTTCAGGGTGCTAGTCTACATACGATAGGGGCCTAAATAGTTCGAATAGGGCTCCTTTAAATAAGGGTATTTAAAAAGGGGTCTATAGGGGTTTCTATAAGGGCTACTATAAGGCGTTTAGGGTATAGGGGCCTAAATGACCACCAATACAATTTTGGGGTTCCTTATTATAAGTACAGCATAATGGGCCCAAACCCTGCTTTACTTATTGAGGCCCCTATACCCTAAACCCCTTATAGTAGCCCTTATAGAAACACTTATAGACCCTTTAAAGGAGCCCTATTCTAATAATTTCGGCCCCTAAGTTACCCTAAACCCTAAACCCCTTTGGCCTTAGACTTGCGCGGTAGTGGATCGGGTCTTGGGTCGATCGAGTCGAACTTTGAGGTTGCTAGATCCGCGAATGTTCGGGCCACTCCGGCTCTTGCGGAGAGGCTTTGCAAGCTCGCCAGGGCTGTTTCGGGTGACGCGGTTGCCGTCATGTGCGGTGGCGCCAGCACGGACGCTAGATGGGCTCCTACGGGAGCAGTTAGGCATGTTTGCCACGACTGTGGCGTGCAGTGCGCCTTCCGTTTCGCATGTGTTTTGGGAATGCTCCCATCCTGCCTACGTGGCACTGAGGACTTGCGCCAAGCCCCACTCGGCACTGAGGTCTCGATTGGGCTGGGCACCGAACGCTTTGGCGTTCAACGAAGAGGTCGGCCACATCACGATGCTGGGGTGCCTACGAAAAACCGAGGTGTCGCTACGTCGTCATCGTCCTTCTTGGCGAGGATGGCGCGGTTGGGGCGAAGGGCTGGGTCTTCCTCCTGAGCTCCCCGGGTTTAGGGTTTAGGGTTTAGGGTTTAGGGTTTAGGGTTTAGGGTTTAGGGTTTAGGGCAAGGTCGCTAGGAATGGCCACCTCTTCCTGGACGCATCCCAGTGGTAGGGAACGTCTCCTCCGACCACGAGTCGAACTTTGACACGTGCGAACTGGGCACCTGCGATGCCGTTTTAGGGTTTAGGGTTTGGGGTTTAGGGTTTAGGGGTTGGGGTTTAGGGTTTAGGGTTTAGGGTTTAGGGCTTGTCCTACGCCCTAAATTAAACCCTAAACCCCCTTTGCGTAGCCTGAAGAGTTATCCTCTAGAGCCCGTAGATGACTCCATGCAGCCCTCGATGGCCCGAGGGGAAATTTTTGGGGTTCAGCGGCTGTTGTTAACGTTCATAATATTCAGCCCCTTGTAACTTAATTAAGGTATACCGCTTATTCATGGAAACATTCAGCAGCCTAAACCGTAAAGTGTACTCCTTGTTCAGGGTGCTTGCGCTCACTGGGCACTTAAGCATCATGGGACTTAGGTTAAATAGGGTCATAAATACGGTACCTATACTTATAAGTACTGCAAGCCCGACTACGGTACTTGTATGTGCTTATAACCTAACTTGCTAAGTCCCTTGCACCCTAAGCCCCTTCTAGAACTGCTATAGAACTTTCAAGAGCCCTTCTAACCTTACTTCCTAGGTCCCCTAACCCTAAACCCGAAACCCTAAACCGTAAACCCTGAACCCTAAACCCCAAACCCTGAGACGCTTCCGGGAGGCGGCTGCTGCGGCGGCCCAGCTTTCGGGCCGATGGGATGCGGAGGGGGATGTGGAGGCGAATGCTCACGGCGACGACTGATGGTTTAGTGTTTTTGTTGGGGGTTTTTAGTAGTATATAATAGCTACAGTGGTAGTCATCATAGTATTTTTCTAGTGACACGATCAAAACAAGATACGAACAGTGATAATGATTATCTGAAGAATAGTAGCAATATCTGACTGGATTTTGATTGTGGAACGCTGATAATGTGGGGCTGATAAAGAAAACACAAGTCTTCTCAATCATCGTTTGCTCCGGGTCGGCCTCTCCAAAACAGTAGCAGCAAGAGTAACACATGGGTAGTTGTCAAAATTATGGTCCCTTTTGGTGTACCCTAAATGATAGGTGCCGTATTATAATAAGGACCCACAAAGGGACCATAATTTTGACAACCGCCCACATAGGAATTGGACCAGGAATAGAAGATGAGTGGTGAAAACACTTTACATATTGGATACCCCTAGAAAACGAAATCTCGAAACCGAAATAAGACTGGAGAAACTGTACAGAATTGCGTTTCCCAGAGGATTCATGGATTGACATGAAATATTTAAGTATGATGCGAGCAAGAAAACGGTCATAGTAGCAATATTACGTACAACAGCAACAACAAGTCAATGCAAGAGATGTTGCCCCGCTGCATGTGCTTATGGTCGTAGTCGTCCTAATAGTAAAGTTCTAGCAGGCAGTTTTTCGTTTGGGATGAAGTAAGTATTTAGATTCTTAATCGTACTGTAATGTCAGTCGTGAACTGTAGCAAGAGGAGTAGTTTCACGAGACTAGTCAAGCAGACATAGGAAGGTGCTGATGGTAATGGTAAACTGTAACAACAGGTGCACAACACGTCAGGATGTCAAGACAACAACAACGGGTCTAGTGTTTAGGCCAAAGTACAACAACATCAGCTTTGACCGGCAACTGTAAGATTAGTCGAAGGACTTGGTGAAGGATGCTTGTGGACTGCCCATAAACAAATATCCATCGTACAGTAGGACGGCGCGCACCCTAAACACTAAATCACAGCTGCTTAAATTTAAATCCCTGCAACTTTACCTAAAACTTTGCACCGAAAGCCCCACATCTTGTGTAAAGTCTGAAACCCTAAACCAACAAAGCGGAACAAGAAGCACTAATGCGAGGCCCAAGCCCAAACCCCTAGACCCTCCAAACCTGAGACCCACAAATCCAAAGCCCTAAACCCTAAACTTCCTAAACCTTATAGATTCCTTACAGAACCCGTATACACTTCTAAACCCTAAACCCCAAACCATATAGATTCCTGCTAGATCCCTTTAAAGGAGCCCTGCTGCCAGGCCATTGCGGTTGCATGGGCTCCGGTTGCAGTCCGTGCGGGGAGAAAGGCTTCTCGCTGGAAGCAAGCAGAGTTTTTTCGGGTGATACGGCAGGTTTAGGGCAATGGTGCTTGGGTTATTCATATTATGATTGGTTATGATTATCCTGCTGTTAGTTTATCATTCTTCTCAACCGTATTGTTTTGTTATCAGTCTGAATTATTGATATTCTTGTTAAGCTGAATGTTGAAGCAGCATTATTACTACTATTGCTGTTGCTGTTACGTTTACTGTCGCTACTACTGGTAATTGCGTGGCAAGGAGGACATTTTCAGGTGGGCAGGTACCGTTGTAGGAGCCTTATAGAAGGTCTACATACCTTATAGAATTCTTATAGAAGCCCCAAAAAACCCTAAACTCCCCGCCTGCAGTTTCCTTTAACAAGGAGGATGCTTCGGATGCGGGCATATGCAGAACTATGCCTCCGGTCCCTGTGGCATGGGTCCAGGCGCACGGGATGGCAAGGGGTTTAGGGGTTTGGGGGTTGGGGGTTTAGGGTGTAGGGTTTTGGGTTTAGGGGTTTGGGTTTAGGGTTTGGAGTTTAGGGGTTTAGAGGATTTAGGGGTTTAGAGGATTTAGGGGTTTAGGGTTTAGGGTTAGGGGTTTAGGGGTTTGGGTTTAGGGTTGCTTGCAGGGTTCTAGAATAGGCTTCTACAGTAAGGGTTCTATATTAGGGCTCTATAATCCTTAAACCCTAAACCTTAAACCCTAAACCCTAAGAGGCGTCTAGGGTTTGGGGTGTACCTTAAGAACCCAAAACCCACTTTTTTGTAGGGTCCCTAGAAATCCCATATTAGGGTTTATAATAAGAACCTACAAAAAAGTGGGTTTGGGGTGTAGGGTGGTCAGGTTGAGGGTTTTCGGGTCCAGGAGCAGGGATGGCGGCAGGTGGAAGTTTCATAGCGCTGTTGGTGAGGATAGTCTAGGCTGTTGAATCCCTGATAGATAGATAGATAGATAGATAGATAGATAGACAGATAGATGTATATCTGTATGTATGTATGTATGTATGTATGTATGTATGTATGTATGTATGTATGTATATATAATGTCCAGGCATACATACATGTATTCATATACAGTATACAGATATTTTCGAATAGTCTAAACCCCTAAACCCTAAACC